CTCTCTCTCCCTCTCTCTCTCTCTCTCTCTCTCTCTCTCTCTCTCCCCCTCCCTCTCCCTCTCTCTGTCCCTCCCCTGCTCAGGCTGTCTCTGTCTCTCTCAAAATAAATAAATAAAAACTTTAAAAAAAGTACCCTTTTCCTGTTTCAAGAGGAGAAACCAGTTGTTTCTCTATCGATCACATATATTTTGACAACTATGGGAAATAGTGAGAATCCATAAATGGACCCGCGCTTCTGTTTGACCGAGATGCTTGATTGTCACAAGTTTTACACTTTATGTCAAGGAAACAAATTAACTATTTAAACAAACGAATGTAAGGGCATCTTGTCCTTTCTAAACAGAAACATAAACTGATTAAAATATTTGCTCACTGTCACTGTATGTTGTGTTGGCATTATATACCATGCATTAATTGGTGCATAAGATTCTTATTTGCGAGGAGGTACACAATTCATGAACATTTTGTAATGCCAAGTAATACCTTTCTTTAAATGATGTTTATCTTCTTTCCAATTACAGGATTTCAGTATCAAATACATGGAGAAGAAACTCAGAATCAACCTTTCAACAGTCTGCAACTATTTTTATTCATGGCCCTTGCTCTGAATGTAGTGATTGTGGCTACGATCATAGCAAGGCATTTTGTGAAGCAGAGAACAGACTACAAGTACCAGAAGCTGCAGAATATGAACTAACGGGTCCAGCCTTAAGTGAGACACGTTCCTCCTGAACACCAAAGGAAATGCTACCCATTATGAATAAATTAGGGAGAGCCTCATAAGAGTGATGCACAGGTCTTGCTGTCATTGTGGTCAGTGTGCTGCCTTGCAGGGTGGTTGAAACGAGCGAACATTATGTAAGTTAGGTCTCATGATAAAGACCTGAAGCCACCAAAATATTAAATGAATTAAAAGCATCCTTTTTCACAAAGCATTTTCAGTAAATAATTAGGTGAAAGGAAAAAAAAAGACATAAGTCTTCAGCATTAGATGTATTTATTTTCTAGATGCAAATGTGTTACCTTTTGAAACATATATGAACGTTATAATTTCTGAAACGAAGTGTGACAAAGAGAATGACCATCTTTTTTATTCATACGCCTCACTATTTCAATGCGGAGTCTCAGCATCTTACAGCTTAAACACATCTCAGAAAAGGGCTTTGGAAAGAAGACCCTGATTATCATAGGCGAGACTTCTGTGTAGTTTCCTGGTTAATGAAGTAAAACAACAGTTCTCGCATTTCCCATCAAACACCAAAGCCAAACATACCTGTAGCAAGGTGGAGTCAGTTCTGACTTAATACATTCCTCTCTGCTGTGGCTGAACAAATATTAAAGACCTCAGTGTGAACTGACTTTACACATACCGAACATCATATTGAATTCTTTGTCTTAGATGCACATTACAACTCTACCTCATCACTCAGTACCACCGTGGTTTGGGTTCTGATCAACATCTAAAGAGGCAACCACATTTCTGAATGCCCAAAGACTTTCCTCCCGTACACATGTATTGGGCACACAGTAATGCCCGGGGAATATACCACGAGTAAGACGCCCTCTCTATTCTCATCGAACAAGTTTTTAGGAGCCTGCTGGGTTTCCAGATCCAAATCGAAATGCATCTTCCCCATTTTCTCTTTAATATGTCCACGTGGATCTTCTAAGCACTTCCCCCAAGTGGCCATGCTGTTGGGTGCCCTCCGCATTCCATCAGTATGGCAACACAGAGCTACTGCAGAAGTTCTCTTCCAACCTAATGTGAAAACACTCAGAACATAATCAGAACAGGCAAATCGAATTCAGAAAAACAGAACTTACAACCTGTCTGGGTGCTGGCCCGTCCACCATCTTTCTGTCAGGAACCGATTGATTTTATGCTGGTGGCCAGGCCTGGGGGCTGCTCAGGGCCACACCAGGCACATAGTGTAAGACTAAGACAATTGTCAAATGCCGTGACTCAGTAGACACTGTAAAATTGTATTACCATGCGTCAAGAAACCTTTTGCAGAGCTATTGAGCTATACCAAGGCATTATAGGTATAAAATAATATATATCAGCAAGTGTTTTTCTTCAGGGGAAACTGCAGTAAAGTAATTAAGGGTCCTCGATCTGGAGTTGGTGGCCTGGGTCTGGGTGTTAGCTCTTCCTCTTACCTGGTGGGTTACCTTCGCCGGGTTCACCTTCAGCCTTGATCTCCACAATTTAAAACAGAGAAGGTAAAACTGCCCCCCCCCACCCCCCACCCCGGAGTGTTGCAAGGATTAAACGAGAAAATGAGTTGCAGTCAGGGGCTATCTGTGTTCCACGTGCCACCAGTGGTGATTACCCATGGCCGACCCCCCAAGTCCTGTCTTAGTACCTGCTTCCTCAGACCCCACCCGGTATTGACTGTCATGGCTCGGATCCCGGGAAACCACTTCTGATAGAGAGTATTGCACACAGAAGGATTCCTGGGGAATGTGCTTGCGATCAAGCCCTGAAAGGGGTGAGGGAAGGAGAACCCGGCAGGGGAGTTGGTGAGCGGAGAAGCGGTCGCAGCAGAAAGCCCCGTCAACCCCCCCAGGAATCCTGGGCTGGGCCGGCTCTTCAGAGAGGCCCCAGGCTGAGGCTTGGTGCTCCGGCCATTACATGCCTCCCTTGACCACTCGTGGTTGAAGCCAACGAATGGGGCTGAGGCAGCTGCCTTGAGCCGAGGGAATTCCTGCAGAGCAGTGGGGCCGAGAGCCATCAGCCACCAACACTCCCGGCAGCTTGAAGAATGAGTGATCCCATCTGAGGGAGATGTGGGTGTCACACCAGAGCGGTCACTAGACTCACTTCCTAAAAGAGGATTTTCAGAATGTCTCACAGCGCTAAATTCTGACTCCATTATGCTGTATCCAAGACGCGTGCCTAACAAGGTATGTCAGCAAGGCTAAGAGCAAATTGGGCAATGGAATATCAGCACGTGCAAACAAGATGGGGAGGGTCACCTCATTACCACTGAGCGGGGTGGAACCCAGGCTGTCCATGTGACCTTGCTGCCCCCCCCCTCCCCCCGGAAGGTGGAGTTGCCTTGTTACCTCTGGATGAGGGTTGAGGTCCTGGCTCTACCCAGAGTGATGTTAAAGGGTGGGGTTGGAAGTCTAGGCTCCCCACCTGGTCTCCGCCTGACCTGGGGGGTGTTGGGGAGGCTCTGGTTACTGCCCACAGGTAACACCACCCTGCGCAGGGGAGGGGAGATGTAAGGATCCTGAGGGCAGGTGAAAGTCTAGGCTCCCCGCTTCACCTTTGTTGGCTAGGCTGGGGGTAGGGCCACAGTTTTACCCATGGTGCGTGGAGCCAGGTGGCTATTGTGTAAAAGTTTTCTGTCTTGCCTGGCTGCTCCTTTACCCGTCCTTTAGCTGGAGACAGCAGACTTCTCTTGGGGCCTTTTTGTCTGTACCCATTGGTGTTTCTGGGTTGCAGTTTTCTGTGAAGTGCATTTTGATCCAGAAAGCACAGGATGCTTAGCAGTGGCCATGGCTTTTACACTTCAGCGTCCCTAAGAATCACCTGGAATAGTTGTGGAAAGGGCCACTTCCTGGCTTCTGTTAGCTGAGCCACAGCCAGAGAGCCTGGCTGGGAAGTTCAGTGGCCCCTTATTTATTTATTCTGAAAAGTTCAGTCCTTTCAATGTCGATACTTTTCACGTTAGGCACCTGTTAAAAGTCCTAAGATGCTGAGTTTGGAAGCTGTTAGCCTCTCACTTCCTCAACACATTTGGATAGCTGCAGTTACTGGGCAGATAAGCTTTGGAAAGTAGAAACTCCAGCAGCTCACAGCTTACCTGGAAAACCCCTTAATTCATCTGAAGCCCTTGGGTGAAATCGATGCCCGATGCTAAAATCATGCGACCGAAGATGAAGCCACTGGGTGACAAATGATTAACTTCTGATTTAAAGATACAGGCTTCACCAGACTGACCAGTAATTATGTTTCATCAACTTCTACTAGGTATAAGCAGGGAACATCATCAAAGTAAACGTCAGTAACCTATTTTTAGCAAGATGGTTGTCGATGAAGGGCACGTTTGAAATGAAACTGAGATGTTCCCCTTTGGAGGCAATGTCCGCCCTTGGGTCACTCGTCAGATTTTAATCTCTTGGGACTTCAGGGTTAGCTCCCAGGCTCCCCCTAACCCTGCCCTCCTCCCCGGGGGACTTGGCCATATTCATCCTATCTCATACTGCTATTTAATGACAATGAAAGGAAAAATCTCTTGGCCTTAAGGACTCATATTTCAAACATTGCTGTTGAATATTTCTTGACAAGCAAAGAAAAAAACAATGGCCTCATCCAAAACTGTCTCTTTAAAGACTGAGCCTAGTGCAGACCTCTTTCTGTGATGATACAAAGAGAGCAAGCTCCTTTCTCAGGAGGGTGTGGGATATACAAGCCTTTCTTTCTGTACTCTTCAGATTTCCTGTGTACTTTTTAGCTTTCCTATAAAGCTTTGAGGATCTGGGACACAGACTGAGTACATGGTAGCTCAGCCAGCAGTCACGGGTGGTTCGTGTGATTGGGTCTCAGACTCCCATTTGCTGTCAATGTCAAAGCTGTCGCCCAAACCCAACAAAGCTGAGGTGCAATCTGTTCCCTTTGAAATGGGCAAAATGAGCTTGTTTTGAGTAAGTGATAACAAGTAAATGAGCAAATGACCTGTTTGATTCAACTGATCAGTTATTAGGGTTAGTGATTTCCTGACACTTAGTTTATTTTTCCTAAGACTCTTAGTGAGCTCTGAAAAGAAATTCTCACATCACTCAAGGGACAGAAACAAAAAGATCCACCTACCAGCATCTGAAAGTTAAGGAGTCAATTAAAAAAAATGCCTTAAATTGGCAATTTGATACAGAGAGAGAGAACTCTGTTCTTGATAACATTTTGTGCAGTTAAGACAATGATCACGTGCTTGGTAGTGAAGAATTAGAAAACGCAGCATCTCCGGCTGGCAAAGAGAGGGACTGCCTGGAAGTTTAGTAATCAGAGAAGGTTTATTTAGCAACAAACTTCAGAGAGAACTTCTTTAGCAGTTTCACCTGTCGCTGTGTGGACAACTTCTGATTTCTCAAACTTATTACATTGCGGAAGGGAAATAGACTTTGCTTTCTAATAACAGAATCATGTGAAAAGTGGAGAAATCAAACAAGGGTCTTGTTCCGACCCGTCCCTCTGTGGACTTCCAGTGGCCCCACCACTTGGAAATGCTCAGTCCGCTCTTCTGTGGTCTCTGTGGGGCCCACATCCCTCTTACTCCGCTCTGCACAGCCCTGGGAGCAGCGGGAGGAATGGTCCCCCACTTTGCACACGGCGACCTCACACTGCAGATACACCACATCATAGCTGCTGAGAAAGTTGAAGGCGTTGAACTTGAACTGGGCCGTGTTCTTCTGGTGGGAGTGGAGGTTGACATAGCTTTTGTCTTTGATGCACCTGATAGAAGAAACCACCCCCAGCCACAAGGATTAACTTAAAGGATGGTGTGAATGCACCCCAACTCAAATAATCAGGCTTAGACTCAGACATATGAAGTCCAAACACACCTCTTCCCACTACCCACTCTTTCTTTTATGAAGAAACTTAAAATACTATTGTGAGTAGAAAAACCACTGTTCCTGACAGGTAACTGTGAGAGAAATACAACAAAAACCAAACAAGGTAATTAAATTCCAGCTAGAGCTGTTGCCTTCTGAAGCTCTGCTCTATTTTGCCCAAAGGGGAAGTTAAAGGTGGTGGTTGTCTTATTTGCAGGTGAATTTTGAGTATTTTAAAATGTGGGGTTTTTGTAGTTTCAGGTTTTTATTTAAATCCAAGTTAGTTACATACAGTGTAATATCAGTTTCATTGCTCATCACAAGTGCCCTCCTTAATCGCTACCACCCATCTAGCCCATCCCCCGCCCACCTCCCTCCATCAACTTTCAGTTTGTTCTCTATCATTAAGAGTCTGTTTTATGGTTTACCTCTCTGTCCCCCGTCCATCCTATGTTCATCTGTTTCATTTCTTAGATTCCACATGTGAGTGAAATCATATGGCACTTGTCTTTGACTGACTTATTTCACTTAGCCTTATACCCTCTAGCTCTGTCCTTGTCATTGCAAATGGCAGGATTTCATTCCTTTTGATGAATCTTCTTTATCCATTTATCAGTCAATGGACATTTGGGCTCTTTCCAGAATTAGAATGTGCTTTGTAAACCCTAGTACAACCATGGAAAAAGTTAAGGAAAGAAGTATAAATGATACATCAAGAGAGGAGATAAAATGGAGTAATATAAAATGCTCCACTGAAACCAGAGAAGACAGCAAAAGGAGAATAGGGGTAGAAACAGAGAATAAATGCACCAAATAGAAAATAGTTACCAAGATGGTAGATTTTCATCCAGTTATATCAGTAATCACTTTAAATGTGAGTGTTCTAAGTATGACCATTTAAAGATGCAGACTGCCAGAGCAGATAAAACAAAAGCAACAATAACAAAAAACCCCAAGTTCCAACTAATAACTGTCTATGACACCCATCTTAAAGATAAAGGCATAGAAAAATTGAAAGCAAAGGAATGGAGAAAGATTTAGCATGCTAATACTAACCAAAAGAAAGCTGGAGTAGCTATATTAATTTGAAACAAAACAGAGTTCAGAGCCAGGACAATGATCAGAGATGAAGAGGAATACTGCATAATGATAAAGAGACCAGCCCTCCAAAAAGACACAACAACCCTTAATGAGTATACATGTAGCAACGGAGCATCAAAATGCGTGAGACAAAAACTAATAGAACTGCAAAGAGAAATCTACAAATCCACGGTGATGGCTGGACACTAACAGCCCTCTGTCTGAAATTGACAGAACCAGCAGGCAGAAAATCAGGAAGGATTTAGATGACCTAAAAAGCCCCATCAATCAGCTAGACTAACAGCCATCTCCAGACCACTACATCCAACACCAGCAGAACACAACTCTTCTCAAGCCTGCATGGAATATTCACCGAGATAGACCACATTCTGGACCATAACCCACACCTTAGCAAATTTAAAGAAAAGAAATCACACAAAATGTATCTTCAGGTCACAATGGAACGGAACTAGAAATCAAAAACAGAAAGGTTGCTGGAGAACTCCTATTTGGAAATCAAACAACAGACTTCAAAGTAACCCGGAGGTAAAAGAAAAAGTCTCCAGAGAAATGTAAAGAATATTTCGAACTAAGTGAAAATGAATATACAATTCACCAAAATCAAATAAATCAAATGCACGTGTTGGAAATGAAGAAAGATGTAGAATCCACCTTAGGAAATTAGAAACAGAAGAGCATCTTAAACCTAAACAAGCAGAATTGGGAGAATGTCGGCTGTTAAAATTCTGGCACCAAACTGTGTCTCTCTCCTTGGTCTATTTGTAAAGAGAATGGAAAGGGAAGAGCTTTCTCACTCCCGAGACCCAGTGCGGTTCAATGCCACACCTGTGCACCTCCCATGCTATAGGTCATGCCACCCGTGCACAGTGCTACGTCTTGCCCCTCCCCCTGTCTTTTGGAAACAGGTACCACGATGATGCGTCCCATGTGGCTCTCACCACTTTGAAGCTGCCACCAGTAAGTGATGGGGTTTTGTTGTCTTGCACCGGTCACCAATGGCCCATCTCTAAGTGTTTGCTCCTGTTAGGGGGCAAGGGAGCTATGAAGGCAAACAACATACCCAAGTTCTAACTTGGCAATTTGTTGCTTAATCAAAACAGCCATAGTGAATCTCACCACTATAAGAGTTTAGGCTGAGAAGACGTGCCAGCCCATCAGGGTAGATCAGATGCCTGAGAGCCTGAACCACAAATAGGGAGTGTAACAAAGTCATAAAACACAGAGGGAAGGGAGGCACAGGTATGAAAGGGTGAGATGGGACAGCAGAGTCCAGGACAGCAGGGCCTTTGCCCAAGACTCTTTGGGGATTCAAGGGACGTTGTCCAGGCTTCCTATAACTATTTGTCTCCAGCTGAGATCAGAGGGACAGTAGGGGCCCGACTCTACCTCTGGGGCATAACGAGGACTATCTTGCACCATGTCACGACTTAGATCTACCAGAGAAGCCACAGGAATGCCACCTGAATATAACAGTCAACCCTAGAAGGCCTTCTATGTTCCTTACCCGTGCCGGATCAAATCGTACTTGACAGTCGTAAAATCACGGGGATCTGGAGAAGCCACACAGGTATCCACAAAGAGCCTCAGGCTGGGGTCGGGGCTCTGGAGTGTGACCTGGAGGAAGACCGCTTTCCTCTGGCTGGCATAGTGTGGCCCCAGGCTGATGGGCGACTCGAGGAAGGATATGGACACATCATAGCCGACGCTCTCCCTTGGGACGTCAGCCCCGGGACTGATGTCAACTGCAGATGGGCCATCCGCCCTGCAGGTGAACTTCAGCTGAGGCATCTTGTGCCGCACGATGACTCGGCCAGGGTGGCCCCGTGTTCGGCTTCTGATGGAGTTGGAGTAGCTGAGGGAGCCAAGACTTTCCTGGGAGGACGAGAGGGGAGGTTCTGGCCAGTGCTCCTGGCTCCCTGACAAGCACCTTCCTACACCGGCAGAGGCCTCTCCACACACCTGCTGGGTGCCAGTCGGCCGGCGAGCTGGAGGCAGGGGGCCTCGGGGCTGCCTCCTGTGGTACCTAGTGCCACGGCGGAGTGACATAGCACTTCAGGGAGCACGCAAGGAGCCCCGGTGTGTGAGCCTGCCCTCCCTTCTTCCCTCTTGTGAGGGCCGAGCTGTGCTGGTATGAGGCGGGGCAGGGGGTCCACGCTGGCTGCCCGGCGCTCTCTCCACCCAATTCCTGCACACGTGCCCCCACCTCAGCCTGGGTATTCTCAGCCAGGCACGGACCATAGCCCACTGTGCTTTTCTCCTCTCTTCCAACCCCTCTCTTCTCTTGGCCCCAGAGGGGTTCTGGCTCCCTATGAGCTGGGGGCCTGGCCCTGCTCGCCTTGAGTCTCAGCCTTGTCCTTCAAATCCAGCAGGACTCGAAGGGCTAAGGGGGTGCTGAAGACTACTGTGTGAGGTGCCGTCGCCTCCGGCAGCCTCCTCCCCACAGCCCTGTGTGCTGTCCAGAGACTCAGCCCGCCCAGCGACGTGGATTGCAGGAAGCCTCTGCGTGTGTGACTCAGACCCTTGACGTCCGCCTGGGAACCCTCCAAGGACCACCCCGTCAGCTCAGACCAGGTCTGCCTTTCTATTTATTTATTTAAAAAAAAATTTTTTTTTAACGTTTATTCATTTTTTAAGAGACAGAGCGTGAGTGAGGGAGGGGCAGAGAGAGAGGGAGTCACAGAACCCGAGGTAGGCTCCAGGCTCTGAGCTGTCAGCACAGAGCCCTACGTGGGGCTCGAACTCACAAACCGTGAGATGGTGACCTGAGCCAAAGTCAGACGCTCAACCGACTGAGCCACCCAGGTGCCCCCCACCTTTTTAGACCTTTCCTTTCCTACTGATCCCCCTGCCCCTTCCCAGCCTCCATTATGACATTTTAATACAACAAAGACACTCTTCACGTTCTGCACACTTTATCCATAAAAATAGACATTTTTTTCTTTGTGCCCCAAAGAAACAGCGTCTCCCTTGTCCCTTGACCTGATGCACATGCACAGCTTAGAGGAAAAGCTAAACTCCATTACTGCATGGTCCTGCCCCTTCCAACCTGACCTTGGGCTTCCCGGTGCTGACTCCTCAAGTCTCTTCCTCAAGCCCTCCAAGTTTGCTGCTGCCCAGGGGGCCTCATCACTAGCCCCCCTGCACGGAGCACGCCCCCTGTTCCTTTACCTGGCTCCGTCTCCTTATTCAGGCCTCGGCTCCTTGGCCACCCTATTCGAAGTGGCCTTCCTTCCACCCCACATCATCTCCTATTCTCTTCCTTGCCATCTTAAGGTCTGTGAAATGATTCTCATATGTGCGTTTGTGCAGTGCCTCCTTCTCGAATGTGAGAGCTGTGGAGCCCGGCCCCCGTCTCGTTGGCCGCTGTGTCCTCAGCACCTAGAAGGTTTGCTTATTCCCTGACTCTGCAGTCACACACAGGACCTTCCTGTGGCAGTGTTTTCGCCGTGGGTGGTCTGGGACTGGCCATCACCCCAAGTGGTTCCTGACCTGCGGTGTCCTCTGGCCCCAGTGCTGTAGGAGCTAGGCCAGCCGGGGCCACAGAGGACACTGCCAGGGTTCTCCCTGATGGCCTAGAAGCTTCCGGGGTGCCTGCCGCGCAGACACTGGGGGGCTTCCGGCACGGCCCCTGGGGCAGAAACCTCTGAGGTAAAAACTAGAAGGTTCAGAGCAAAAAGGATAAGGACGACCATGGGTCTGCACAACCAACTAGACAAAATGTGAAGTATGGAGTGAAGCGGTCACTTGGCGTCATGCAGGCTATTGGATGAATCAAACCTCCAACAATGCCAAATGTTTGCTGTTCTGTGTGTCTAAATACTGATACAAAGGAAGAGAGGAATAGCATGGAGACCATGCTGTGTAACGTGGTACATTGATGGTACATTGTTAGGTATGCTGAGAAAAGTGCGATTTTGTAGTTACGCACTCTTCGCTTGTTTCCTTAACTTCAGTGACATTGTCTCGTGAAATAAGCTGGTGGTTAAGGAAAATGAGACAGACATACACATTTCATTATACCCAAATGTCTATGCTTTCTTTTTTTTTTTTTTTTAATTTTTTCTTTCAACGTTTTTATTTTATTTTTGGGACAGAGAGAGACAGAGCATGAACGGGGGAGGGGCAGAGAGAGAGGGAGACACAGAATCGGAAACAGGCTCCAGGCTCTGAGCCATCAGCCCAGAGCCCGACGCGGGGCTCGAACTCACGGACCGCGAGATCGTGACCTGGCTGAAGCCGGACGCTTAACCGACTGCGCCACCCAGGCGCCCCTGTCTATGCTTTCTTGATTGCGGAATACAGCTAGCTGTCTGGTTAGAACGCAGCTGTCAGATCATTTGTCCTCTCCCATGCCCAGCGCCATAGCGTGCACATAGTAGGTGTGCACTAACGGTGAATAAAGAAGCAAGTTGTGGAAAATGCTCAGCTTTGGAGCTAAAAGAACAGCACCCATCATCCATCCATCTATCCATTCATCCATCTGTCTATTTACCCACCCATCAGTCCATCAGCACTCAGCACTTATTACTGTGTATTCCAAATTCAGTACGTACTCTAAATTCCCAAAAGGAAGGAAAATTTCAGACAAATTAGTGAGTGCTCCAGGTCTCACTGAATTCAGAAACAAAATCATGGCCGTGCCTTCTGGCCCTGCCAGGTTTTTAACAGGTGGTTGAACTTTCCAAATCTCTCTCCTTGGCCTCCATCCACAGAAGGGTACCACCACCCCGTCAGTTTCTTACCTGTCTGACGGTGCCACAGTGACCATAGGGAATGTTGAAGATCAGATAGCGCCCTGTGACGTGGGGACGACACAGCTCATCATTTAAGTGGATGTCCCAGGAGGAGTAGCCCAGCCTCCGGAGATAACCTCGGTCAATGGTGACTTGGAAGAGGTGAGGCAAGCAGGAGAGCCAGGCTGCAGGAGGAGGAGCATGGGGAGAAGCTCACAAAGACGATTTGGTACACTGGGCGCGTCGGTCCGGGACATGGGTGCGTGCTTACTTTATAAAGCATGGACAGTACTTTGCGCCCGGGGGGTGCCTCAGCTCCCATCACCCCCCACCCTTGACTTGACTTCCGCTGATTTTATTTATATGCTCTCTTTTCCAAAAAGTCACACCATATCATGGGAGTCTTATACACACAGCACACGTCCCACGCGCCGGGAGTCAGAGCCTCGTCTATAGATTTAGAGAACGGCCCCTTTCCCGTGTTGAGGACACCCGAGGCTGAATGTACATCTATTTGAGGCAAGGGCGTGGGAGCAAAGAGGGAGGGAGCATAGGTGTTAAGAGGCTTCTTCCCCAGCCTCCTGAAGCCCGGCGAGTAGATAGACATGTGAGAGATCTCGGTGGAGACAGAAGCTGGTGCCCCCTCAAAACCCGTTCTGTCTCCCGGGGACAACTGCCTGTCTTAGTTCCGCCTTCCCGCAGTTTAGAGGGGAGAGCTTACCGTTGTCTTTGGGTACAGCAGAGGCAGCCAGGCCTGGTGAGAAGCAAACGTCAGCCGTGCAATATGGAGGAGGAGGGTATAGGCAGCAGTAGAACATGCAGTGCTAGGAAATGGGCTCATTCTGTTGAGCTACGGAAGCTGGAGCACCATGGCTTGAGAGTACTCCAAGCAATGGGAAGGGAAAGAGGGCCCAGAACCTCCCGATGGAGCAGGAGGGAGGGATCCCGGTGTGCGTGAAGAAGCGTTGAGAGTACGGGTGTCATCAACACCAAGAGAATAGTAAATACAGGGCTTTGCAGATTATAAACACCATCACATGAGTGAATTCGGGCTGGTGTCCCTTCCTATGCACAGGACATGCTCGGAATCTCAGGCCGGGAAGTAGGCAGTTCATAGCCATCGAAGGCCTCCCCAGCACAGAAGCAAGGCGGGACAGTCACCTGTGGCTAGGGTCCTGGCCAGGAAGCATGGCTGGCCAGATTCACTCAACCCCTTCTGATACTTTTGGCCCCAGACCTTTGATCCTTCGGTAGCTGTACCCAATCAACCCTGGTGTATGATCCAAGAATGGAAAGCGAATTACCCTTGCCAGTGGGTCCGCCGACAGCAGGAGGCATGGCTGGAACTGTGAGCAGACACAATGAAAGTGAGGGTCTGGAAGATAGGATCCCAAGACCCCAGGGGACTCATACTCTATGGCTCTCTGCGGGACTGTTAGTCTCAGGGGGACTCTGATAGTTTTTCTATTTGTGATCCATTTCTGTGCAAGACAAGAGTAACTCCCACGTAAAGCTAAGAGCAATAGAGTGATTCTTTGGTTTGCCTGTTAAAAAACTTAAGGATGGAACAGACAAAGGGGGCTCGGACTTGTTCACCAAATCTGAGAATTCCGTAACTCTCTGAGATTTCCCCGGGTAAATGTAGGACAAATGTAAGAAACTACTACTCCACCCCAAACAGGGTCCAGCTATGGAGGCCAGAATGCCAAGAGGGGTATCGGGCGGTAATAAAAAGTACTACAGGAAAGGCAGAGGCCAAATCTTGGGTGAGAGGGACATGCCGGCCGACATTCTGACTTCCGACGGCCAGGTCAGGGTGAAGAAGGGTGTCCACCTACGACTGTGCCCTCACATGCGCCCTTGCTATCCCAGCAGCCAGGGCCTTGGCCTTAGGAACGCAGGCGGAGGAAGAGGGACGGAGCCCCGGGGACAGCCCCGATCGCCGACGCGCTGCGGCACCTGCGCAGACCACGCCCGCGTCCTCCCGGTGGCGACAGTTGTGGCGCGTCCAGCCCGAGTGGCCGCAGCGGCCCAGCGTGTCCTCGGTGCCCGTGCAGCGCACGTCGTCCAGCAGGATGGGCCCCGAGCCCGGGCCGAAGCGGCCGCGCCCCGGGGCGGCGAGCGCGGGGCCGCAGCGCAGCAGGCGACACACGACGCGGGCGTCCCTGATGTCCCAGTGGTCGTCGCACACCGTGCCCCACGCGCCCTGGTGGCGGACCTCGACCCGGCCCTCGCAGCGGCTGCGCCCGCCCGCCAGGCGCAGGGGAGGGTCTGCGGGAGGAGAGAGAGAGAGCGAAACAGGGGGTCGCGGGGGTGACAGGTGTGACAGCTGCCCTCCGTTGCTCCGTGCATGTCATTTGCAGTGGAAGAGATGACACTGCGGGGAGCTTCACCACGCCAGGCGGTGCTGCCTTCTGTCTCTCGCTCCCTCCTTCCCGTCCCCCCACCCCCTGCACTCTCTCATAGAAAAGTCAAACCTGAATTAACTGAAGGCCGCAGACAATGGCGGATATTGTCAGCCTAGTTGCCCAGACACGTGATGAGAATGTAATCGTCACACAAAAGTACCAAGACCCCAAAGAAAACAAAATGGCAAACCCCTCAAATCTTTGGAGTAAAATTATTGAGGCACTGCTGTGGCTTAGCAAACAACATCTGTCCAGTGAAATTCCTTTTACTCTGGATGAATAAAAGCCAACCCTTGAACTGCACAAAGTGTATTGTGTGGCCTGGCTGTTCCACTCGCAGGTGTTTGCTCAAGATAAAGGAAACAGATGTGCGTCGGAAGATTTGTGCGTAGCAGAATTCTCCACCATCCACACATGTCCACCAGCGGGAGAGGGGAATGAATAAATTGCTGACTACCCACACAGTGGAATATTACTAAGCAATAAAAAAGAACGAAATGCCAATGTAAGGAACCATAGAGACAAATCTCAAAAACAATTTGTTAAGCAAAAGAAAGCAGACGCAGAAGAGCACGTATTATTTGATCCCATTGATATGCGATTCTAGAAAAACAAATCTGACCTACAGTGGCAGAAAGGAGACCAGTGGTCGGTCGCCTGGGGGATTTGCTGCAAAGGGACATGAAGGAACTTTTGGGGGTGATGGGAATGTTCTAGATCTTGATTCCGGTGGTGGTGGTGGTGGTGGTGGTGGTGGTGGTGGTGGTTACATAGTTGTATACGTTAGAAAAACCTCATAGATGTTTGCAACTTACTGTGTATCATTATAGGTCAAAAAAAGGTGGCTTAAAGAAGTAAAAGTAATTTTAAAAATCTAGAGTGTTAGTGGTTCCATACCCATAGATGTGTGTAAAATGATTTGTCTTCATATAAGAGGGGTTGCTAGCAACTGTTTTCCAACTTCCTGCTCTGTTTGGCCCATAGAAGATGCTTAGTGAATGCTAATAAATACCACTGGCTGTGGTTTCTCTGTGACTGCAGTGTCCTAGTTTAGGATAGTTGCTCTCTCCTTATGCAATTGGTTGCTGTGATACTGGAGCAAGATAACCATGCTTGGCTGAACTATGAATAAAGGCAAGTATCTTTTGGGTCAGGCCTCAGGAGGTGAATTTGGGGCTCCTGCCGCACAAAGGTATGTGTAGACATAGACATAGACATAGACATTTGCATATATACTTACATATGCATATATATTTACATACACATATATGTCTATGACTCATAAAAGGTTTCTGTAAGGAGCAGGAACTTTGAAAAAAAAAAATAAATAATTACGATCCTAACAGTACTGATAATGATTTGATAATTTAAGTGCTTAGGAACAAACAAAAATTACCAGGCAAAGGGATCATGTCTTCACCAGTTGAAATTGTAACTGTAAAAAAAGAAAACCTGAGCTTAAAAAAAACACATATCCTCAAAGTCACATATTTATATTCAAAGCTGAAAAAGACCCACACATTTTCTGGAGGTTCAGAGACTAATAGTTTTGTTTGAGTTTCTGCTTAGGTTTAGGTGCAGAAATACCATCCACCAAGTTTTATTTTTTTTTATCAAAATGTAACAAGTGGTGCTTATTCTCCAAAAGGAAAATAATTTGCTGAATGGTCACAAAAGAAGCCTTATAAATATACTAAATTTTTATAGGAAAAATATAAAAGTATTAGATTTTGTAGGAAAAATGTTTATAGGGGCTGAAAATGAAATGGAGAAAACCCATCAGATTTCTCAGAAATGTTTTTTGATAAGAGAAAGATCAGGGCTCCTGGGTGGCTCAGTCAGTTAAGTGGCTCAGGTTATGATCTCACAGTTCATGATTTTGAACCCCATGCTTCATTCACATCAGGCTCTCCGCTGTCAATGTGGGGCCCGCTTCAGATGCTCTGTCCCCCTCTCTCTCTGCCCCTGCTCCTCTCACTCTCTCTCTCTCTCACAAAAATAAATAAACTTAAAAAATATTAAAAAACCAGAAAAATAATATTTGAGAGGTGTAATTCCATATGAAAATATACAGAGGGAAGCAAGGTAGGAAAAGTAACAATGGATTTTATGATAGAATATGGTTGTATAAATAATTATGAGACGAAGAGTTAATCTAGCAACAGGCATATGAGCTTTACCAGGTGATGATGTCGCTTTTGTTGAAATCAGATGTATGGCTGCCGACACAAAAAAGAGAGATTTTTTTCCGGTGAAAAGAAAGCATTAAGATTGGATGTCGTTGAAATTTTATGCAGTGGACTGCAAGCTTATGAAAATAAGCCTGATCCATAAGCTGTATATAATACAATCCACCTGCTTATTTATCTCGTGGACTCACACATCCGGGAGTGAAATGATATATGAGCGGTTGGCATTTTGCAGGACAGATGAATAAATCCCATTTAGAGCTTCCAGGATGTGTCGTATAATTCACACCTCAAATCCCTACAGCAGCTGCTCCAGGGAAGTATCATCAGTGTGTCAGAGATGAGGAAGTTGAGACCCAGAGGGCTTGTATGACATGACCGGGGCATCCTCAGTTCTGACCTGGGAGGCCCCGAAGCATAACCCTTTCCGCAGCACTCTGCCTTCCGGGAGCATGAAATGTGGGAGTCGCATTCACTCTGCCTGCTCTGGGGTGAAGGGGGATGAGGGGGAAGGAAGGGAATGGTCTGATGGTTACCACATCTGCCCTCACACTCCCAGGGGCAGGAAGTGATTGTGCTGTCACGCTTTTGTAAAGATGTGTGATGCCACTTAATCTGCATGAAAAGCAGCCCAGTTCCCGTGAAACCGGGTCTGCAAAGAAAAACTCATCTCATGTGAGGTCAAGAGTCAGTGAGAAGTATGAGTGAAGGACTCTTCTGCCAAAAGTGAGGTCATGATGAGGGCAGGGAAAGGAGGAAGGGAGGAAGGGAGGGATGGAAGGAGGCAGGGAGAACTCTCCCTAAGTGGAAGCGAGAGGGAAGTCCTAAGCTTGGCTTCACTGCCTTTTGCACCATTATGCCTTCAAAGTAACCAGGACTTGAAAAGAAAGGAAATAGAACAAAAGAAAGCGATAGGCCTTGCTACTCAGGAGGTCAGCGTCAAACGGATCGAATGGAGTCACACAGGCAGATTCATCGGCAAAGACTGGGAGCAGAAAGGACCTTGGCTGGGAGCTGGGATCCCCAGCTTGCTCAGTGACTGCTGTGGACTCAGTTATGTCCCCTCAAAATTCATATGTCAAAGCCCTAACCCCCAGTGTAGCTGTATTTGGAGATGGGGCCACTGAGGAAGTAGTCAAGGTTAAGTGAGGTCATAAGGGGAGGCCCTGATCTGATAGGATTAGCGTCCTTATAAGAAGACACATCAGAGCTCCCATCCTCTCCCTCTCTCTCTGTCTCTCTCCCCCTCAGGGAGCACACACTGGGGAAGGGAAGGCCCTGTGAGCGCACAGCGAGAAGGTGGCCATCTTCAACCCAAGGGAAGACCCTCACCAGACGCCGACCCTGCCGGCACCTTGATCTAGGACTTCTAGAACTGTGGGAAGTAAGTCTTTGCTGTTTAACGCGCACAGTCTGTGGTATTCAGTTTTGGCTGCCTGAGCTAGGACAGTGGCAAGTGTCCTCCTTCTCAGGGCCTCCTTTTCCTCCAAAGCGAGAGTAGTGGTTTAGCATTTTACTCCTCGAGGGCGGTTGCTGACCGACCGGCAGCATCGGCAGCATCGTCTGGGAGCCCCTGAGAAATGCAGAATCCAGACTCCACCCTGGAGCCACTGTGAATCCGAATCTGCGTTTTAACAAGTTCTTCAGGCCACTCACGTGCACGTCAACATTTGAGGTTTGCTGCCGTGGGTCATCTCTAAGGTATCCTCCAGGGTTGACCCTTGACGCCCTTTTATCCTAGTCATCCCGTCCTCACATCTGCCTTCACCGTGTTCGGAATCAGAGCCACTTTTGAGGTAGCGGTCTGGAGCTTCCCTACCACCCCCATCCCCCCATCTCCCCTGACCTCTCCTGGGAAAAACAGGAAGTGTTTCCTCTGGGTGTGTAAGTCCTGCTGGGCTGGGGTTTCTCAGGAAGTCATTCACTAGGGCTGCCGCAAAGAGCAGAGAGCGTACCTGGTGAAGAGGTCTCCTCTTCCCGAGTGGGACTTGTGTCTGCAACCAAAGAAGAGTGAAAAGAAAATAGAATGTTTTGGTTGGAACAACAGTGTGGTAGAAAGTGTAATTGTGTACGGGGAGAGCCAACACGATCACAGTCCAGTTGTCTCGCATTTGCGTGTGCCGGGTGGGTCAAAGCCTCACCTGTAACACAACACACACCACCGAGCAAGTGGAGTGTGGAGCCCCCGCCCTCGCCTCCCATGGGCCAGGGCGACAATGAGAGGGTGTTCCCCAGTGTAGGGACCACTCTGTGTCTACGGATGTATGAACCGAACACGAAGCTGGGACTTGGGGGCTTATACCACGGGCAAAATATTCAGTACACAGGTTCATTTGTCCAACAGAAAGAAGGAGAGTTGGTCACATTTAACTTAAGAAATGTGACAGGCAGAAAACATTACCAGAGGGCGGGTCCACTTCTGTGGAGGCTGAAGATATATCTGTATATGGACAGAGAGAATAGGACACTTGAAACCGGGAGAAAAAGGACACTTCAGTGTGTCTTTTCATTCAGTTTACTTTGTGGTCAAAGTGGTCATGACGTGAGCTCGTTTTCTAAACAGAACAAGGCAAGTCAGAATTTAAACAGCACAACGAGAGAGACTTTACCAGGTGGAGAGGTCACTTCCACTGAGGTTGAAGAGGTATCTGTAGAAAAAGAGAAGAAACCTAAAACCAGTGTCCTAAATTTCCATGGAACAACCTAGTCCAATGAACGGAACCCCAAGAAGAGGCACTTAGTGGGGCAGGAGACAGTGTTTTACCTGGTGTGGAGGTCACGGTGGTTGCGACTGAAGCTGCAAGTCAACAAAAATAACAAACAATATGACAGCCGTATCAGGCATATGTGTTCCTAAGACACAGCACACATAAAGAAGGCTGTTGTAATCAGTATGACTGGCCTGACTTGTCTTCCTGCTTTTCAGACAGAGGCAATGGCAGGGCATTTCTAGATCCGCCATTGCCTCTAGGCCCCCTTCTACTCATTGGATCTCCATTCCTTTGGCCCACCCTTTACTCCTCCCCTTGGAGAAGGTGGACGTTACCTGCTCAGGGGACAACAACCATTGGTCCAAATTTCTCCCGATATGGGCTAATCTAACAAAGGTTCTTCAAATGGAGGGCTTTCTTTGCCCGGTCCTCCGTCCTCTCCTCAAATGGTTGGAAGGTAGTGACACAGGAAAGGGGGACCTCTATAGACCGGAACTTTCTCCAGGGGGGCTGTCCCAAGACCTAGACTTCAGTCTAAGTCCATTTGCCTCTTGTATTAAGAGTTGCCCTCAGTAAAAAAGGCCATTTTTGGTGTTAACTCTGGTGTTTTATTTAATTGCTTTAGCACCTAGAGTAGAGGAGAGCACCCTCTTTATTGTGCCCCCCACAAATAAACCTTTAACACTCTATATGTAAAATTGTTAAACCCAAAGTCACACCAGGAGCTCCTCAGATAATTGCAACCAGCATCACTCAAGATCTATTGCACAAGGGGGGGGGTGTTACTTGTTACCTTGGTCAACTCTCTATCCCTTAGGACCTTGGCACAGAGCCTGACACAAGTTTACCCTCCCTGAATGTTGGATGAATGTCTGAGGGGGATCAGTCAAAGCCATGGCTGAACTCCCCACCATTCTTGCAATACCCACTTTGCGGTTGGTCTCCAGGAGAAACTCTCGCCATGGACAGTTGACATTAGACCGCCAGTCAGTCCAGTGCATGACTTATTTTGGAGTTTGGCTGAATTGGCTGAACTAATCTATCCGTTGGTCCATGCAGTTAGCTGGGCTGCCCAGAATTCATTCACCATCAGGGAATATAGAGGTGGCCTATGTGAGTCAGATCAATATAAACGTACTTAAAAACTAAAGAATGAGGGATGCCTGGGCGGCTCAGTCAGTTAAGCATCTGACTTCAGCTTAGGTCATGATCTCGTGGTCTGTGAGTTCAAGCCCCGCATCAGGCTCTGTGCTGACAGCTCAGAGCCTGGAGCCTGCTTCAGATTCTGTGTCCCCCTCTCTCTCCACCCCACCCCTGCTTGTGCTCTGTCTCTTGCTGTCTTTCAAAAATGAATAAACATAAAAAAATTAAAAAAAAAAGGAACTCACTGAATTCCCAGTGTGTGAATCTAAAGAGGCTCAATTCACTATAACTTGACCTCAGAGACCTGCCGTTATACCAAGAGCCAAGGGAACAAACCAGGCATACGGCATCCCACATACCTATGAAAGGTACGTAAGCACCGTCTGCCTAGTTTACTAAGCATTCGGTGAATATGTGAGCACCTTATGGCAGTGTGATAGGAACTTGATATTTCGTTTCTGGTGATGCATAAACTTTAACCCTAACGGTATGTGAGGCCATCTAGCCATCTATGAGGTTCATAAGGCAAGCAAGAAAAGAAAATTACCAGGTGAAGTGGTCATTTCTGTGGCTGATGCTGAAACTGTAAAACAAAAACAGAACACAATGAGGTAAAACCTGAACAAAGATCCCACCCACAAACAGAACATTTAGAAGACATCTTTTTCCCAAAAACATTTATGCCTCGGATAGACTGAAATTAGATACAAAAACGGCTTCTGAAATGTGAAACTGAAGACGAGAAAAGCCTCTTGGTAAGACTGAAGTGGAGGTGGGCTGCAGGAAGGTCGAGGTGAGAACCATCCGTTGGCTGCGAGGACAGTAGAACCTCCCCGCGTGGGTCAGAAAGGTTGTTTCTCCGATGTCGTGAAGAGCGAATATTTCCTAGGGCTGCAAAGTAGTAAGAGCCTTCCTAATTCTGACCTCAGGTTCTTAACATGGATTTGCTCATTTTCACTAAACTCACTCGTTGAAAACACAGGGCCAAGATCTGAATATGAAAAGACAGTGGCCCCTTAACATAATTAAACATGTTAGGACCCCTGAGTCAATGTTCATTTATTGTCGTTAATGACCTATCGGGGTTGAAACACGGAAGTGATCCTGAACCCTTGCACTGGAACAGACGCCCGACAAGGGCAGGTTGTTGTCTGCTTCCCTCACCACCACGTGTTCATGTAGAGTTTTGCCTGGCTCCAGCAACGTGCCCAACAAATATTTGTAAAATAAATGGATGCGTCCACTGAATCCTATTATTCTTGTCTTTGCTCTAAAGCAGTGGGTATTTTCATTTCATCCAATTGGCTTTTGGAATTCTACTTGTTTGGCAGCCTAAGATAATATATGTGTGGGCTGAATTAAAAAAAATAGAAAAGGAGACCATCTCAAGCCCCTGAGACCAAAAACAAATAGTGTTGATGCTTTCACAAGGGGTACAGGTGAGAGGGACTGGGTTTTGCTCACAGAACTCCCCAAAGCGGTACTACAAAGTCAGCTTTAAGGCTCAAAACATAAGACATAGACTAGAAAAAGCAATGACCCCAGTGGGTGAATAACAGCGAATCTGGCAAGTCCTTGAAGAGGGCAGAGACCAGGGGCTCTAAAGTGAACTGGTGAATGTAGCTTCAAGCACTGGGTAGGTCAGCAGGTTAAGAGAGGCCAAGAATGGCCCAGAGGCCTCCCCAAACCAATGTTGAGAACAGACCCTAAGTGTGTGTTTGGAGGACGCCGAGGGGACCCGAGCTTCTTCACATGCACTTCCAAGTCCCTCTCTCCCACCCCAACAGCTGTGGCTCCAGCAGCGTCAGGAGAGAGTCAGGAGTGAGTACCTGAGCAGATGACCCCGGCGTCCTCATGGTGGCCACAGTTGTGGATGGACAAACCCAGGTGCCGGCACTGGCCTAGTGTGGTCTCATTGCCCCGGCACTGCACGTCGTCCAGGAGGATGCTCCCCACACCTTCCCCAAAGTGGCCGTTCCCCAGGGCTCTGACGCCCTCCCCGCAGTCCAGCTGCCGGCACACAACGCGGGCTGCGCCGATGCTCCAGAGGTCATCACACACGGTCCCCCACGTGCCGTTGTGGTACACCTCGATGCGACCTTCACAGCGGTTGCTCCCATCCGCCAGCCTGATGATGGGCAGGTCTGGGGAAGACTCGGGGTTGTTACTGGAACGGGATTAACTCTTCCGGCAAGTAATTTCTCATAGGACTTTCCTGTAGTTTTTACTGTAGCGAACCCCGAAGTCCTATACTCTGTAATCTCTTATTCCTGTCTCCAAGCCCCATAGGAAAAAGTCAAATTAGTACTTATCAATGCAGTGACTAGCTTTTCCAGGCGAGCTCTGATTTCAGATATTTTGTTCCCTCATTTCCATCTTTGCATTTGAAATATAATTGCAAAGATAAGGACAGATATCTATTTCAGAATGGAGTCATTAAATTGCTAAGCAACAGCATGGAAATAGGTCAGACTCAACTTCTCATTATTTTCGTAGAGCCAAACTTGCACACTGGCCCAGATTCGCAGATTTTATTTAAAAAAATTTTTTAATGCTTATTTCTATTTGAGAGAGGGAGAGTGCATGCAAGAGGTGGGGGGCACCGAGAGAGAGAGGGAGACACAGAATCCAAAGCAGGCTCCGGGCTCTGAGCTGTCAGCACGGAGCCCGACGTGGGGCTCGAACCCATGAACTGCGAGATCATGAACCGAGCCGAAGTTGGACGCTTAACCAGCTGAGCCACCCAGGCGCCCCAACAGCTAGACAGATTGTAGAAGCAGAGACTAGACAAGTGGCGGGCCCTGCATGCCACATCTCCCTCCATGGCAGGGCCGAATCCACCCCAGCCCTGACATGCCCAGCTGTAACCTCAGGGAGTCTGCTAGAAAGACTCAATAGCTAGGAAGGGGTGAAGGAAGCAGTCAAAGGATTACCAACTGCAGGAGCTGTTTCCGCTGATTCTGGGGCAGCTTCGACAGCTGAAAGAGAAAGCGCAAGGCATTCATGTCAGCAGGTGCGCACTTGCAGAAACGCTCGTGGACACACCAGCCAATGGGCACGTGAACCCACATCTGTCCCCGTGTGCCGGTTCGGGAAATCCTGGCAAAGGCAACTGCACTTCTGAGACCTCCTTTCCCTCAGCCGGTGAGACCGAGGCTTACGGAGGCTAATTGGAAGCATCTATCTGAGCTTTTCCAGGGGGAGCCATCCAGAGCCACTCGGAGCTGAGACTACAAAATAGGACAGATGAGCCTCTCATGACATTTTAATTCAGAGTTCTCATCGAGGGATGCCAAGACTTCTTTGTAGCACCAAATGCTCACTCTACAGATGAAATGGAACAAAACAGAACAAAACTACCCAACAGGGGCGCCTGGGTGGCTCAGTCTGTTAAGCATCTGACTTCAGCTCAGGTCATGATTGCACAGTTGGTGAGTTGGAGCCCTGCATCAGGCTCTGCGCTGACAGCTGGATCTTCTGTCCCCCTCGCTCTCTGCCCCTCCCCCGCTTGCACTCTCTCACTCAGAAATTTAAAAAAACATTGAAAAAACTAAAAAACAAAAAACCCCACACTACCCAACAACAAGGTGGGATAGAAATATTCCCACCTTGTCTGTATCTTCCCCCATTTGGGAACCTTGTTTCCCCTCCGCAAACTGTGAGACAGGAGTAGCTCTGGGCCGTGATGGTGCGGGGGAGGGGGGGAACGTGGGGGGTGGAGGGGCTGGGGAGGTGGGTCACAGATGTTTGTTGCGCGCATTATTTAGTAACAAAAGGTAACAAAGCAGGGTTTTTCAACATTCAATCAGCTTTTTTGAATGGTTGCATATAATTGTCCCTAATAGCAAGAAAATCGCGAGCTGGGCAATCAGCAGCTCAGGAGAGGTTTCCCATCTAGCTCTTTCTGAGAAATACCTTCATGAGAAATTTATGATGTTGATGCACATCGAAAAATCATTCCTGGCAATGAAAAACCATCCTGAGCAGGGGTATAACTTCCTGCTTTACAGGCATGTTTTTTGTTTGTTTGCTTGTTTGTTTTTTGCTCATAGGATCTCCCTTCTTCTTAGGGCCAGGGGAGTGGGCTGTGATATCAGGTACACTTCAGACAAGTGTGACCACCCTCCTGGGTTAGCGGAATCTGAGGGGGTTCCTGAGACACGGGTCTCTCTGTGCTCCAAATGGGAAAACTCCAGGCAAACCGGGACAAGCCATTTTCATGACCTGGAACCCCAAGCCTTTAGGGTCGGCCTGCCTGGCAGAGGAGGGAACCCAGTCTAGGGGGAGTTCAGGTACCTGAGCAGACGGCTCCGGCATCCTCGTGGTGACCACAGTTATGGACCGACAGGCCACGATGGATGCACTGCCCCAGGCTGGTCTCATCGCCCGTGCAGCGCACATCGTCCAGGAAGATGGGGCCCGAGCCATCGCCAAACAGACTGCTCCTCGGGGCCGCCAGTGCCATTCCGCAGCCCAGCTGCCGGCACACCACCCGTGCGGCCGGCAGGTCCCAGAGGTCGTCGCACACGGTCCCCCAGGTGCCGTTGTAGAGGATCTCCACGCGGCCCTCGCACCTGCTGCTCCCCGCCGCCAGCCTCACCACCGGCAGATCTGCAGGAACCAAAGGTCAGAGAGGCTTGAAAAGGTTCCCCGGACTCTCAAACGAGACAGCATTTCCAGTTGGAGAATTCTAGCCCCGTCTGTAGTCTGTGTCCCCCGGGAAAGCAAATCATATATGCAGAGGAGACCATGTGATGGCTTCTTGTTTCTGAGATTCAGCACAAACTCCATAGTGTTTTGCTGTCAGTGGGCCATTTCTTATGGAAATATGGGCCGCATGGTGGCTTTGCAGATGACCACTTAAAAACAACTGTCTTGGGGCGCCTGGGTGGCTCAGTCAGTTAAACGTCTGACTTCAGCTCCAGTCATGATCTCGTGGTCCACGATTTCGAGCCCCGTGTCGGGCTCCGTGCTGACAACTCGGAGCTTGGAGCCTGCTTCAGATTGTGTCTCCCTGTCTCTCTGTCCCTCCCCTGCTCGTGCTCTGTCTCTTTCTCTCTCTCTCAAAAATAAATAAAAATATTTTTAAAAATTAAAGAAAAAACACCCCAACTGTCTGCTTTTATTCTCTTTTGGGTGTCGTTTGTCATGTGGTTTCTCTAAAAATTCAAAACAGTTCAGCTGGATGCTTGGGGTTCAGACTTCACATTTTTTACCCAGGTCTCTTAAAGAATGTTTGGAATGTTCAGAACAAAATTAATTTCACTTTACTTGAATTTTAAAAAGGATGAGGTGTTTATCGGAGGATGATGGAGAAGGTTGGGGCTGGAAAATTGCACAGCAGAAGAGGGGCGTCGCTCCTACAAGAAGGTCAGATACTCACTGAGTGAAACTTACCCCCAAACCAAAAGCAGATGAGCCTGGTTCTCAGATTCTGAGCCCCAGAGATGGGGCTGGTTCATGGGGTCCCCCTGGAGAAGGGCCCACAAGAGCACTGTGTGGCTCAGGACCTTCCTACGGGCCTTTCAGTGATGCCACTGAGGGTGGGTGGGTGACTGGCTCGGCTTGAAAAGGTCCCCACAGGGGGAGAACCCACCATACCACCAGCTTGTCTCTGATGAGCACAGCTTTTATTCCGTACGGCACCGGGGCCATGAAAATTATGTTGGCTACATTTCTGTGGGCCACAAATGCCAGCCTAAGAAAAGAAGTCGCAAAATGTAAGGACGGAAAAAATACCTATTGGTTGGAAAACATGTGGCTGTTCCCCAGGAGTTGCAGCAACTGTACATGTGAAAAAGAAAGTAGTCATTGTAAGTATCTTCTAAGCCAACAATGCAATTTCATAATCTCCTCAGTACCGTCTATATCACATGCGTGAGTTTGCCTTTAAACAACCCCATCCAATCTCTGATCAGATAGTTAGCATTTATTTTTTTTAAAAAATGTTTATGTATTTTTGAGAGAGAGAGAGAGAGAGAGAGAGAGTGCGCGCACATGCACTCCAGCGCAAGCGGGGGAGGGGCAGACAGAGGGAGCCACAGAGCCTGAAGCAGGCTCCAGCATAGCCCGACATAGGGCTCGAACTCATGAATTGTGTGATCCTGACCTGAGCCAAAGTTGGAGGCTTAACCAACTGAGCCAACCAGGTGCCCGTAGGTAGTTGGCATTTAAAATGTGATGGTAGCTCATACAGGTGATACAGGTGTATGTATTATTCTGGTTAAGTGTAAGAAAATAAGAGAAATAACGTGGATGTCGGGATTGTGAAGGCGTGGCCCCACAGGCCCAGCACCTTCTCAGAACCACAGAGCTTTGGGTCAAGGAACCGGTGTCTCCGTCCTGCTGAAATGCAGACCTCATGTACAGGAAGGAGGGCATCAAGCCTGTTAACACCCAGAATGGCTTCTCCTCTGGGTGCAGAGTAGGGCCCCAGGGGAATGGAAAACAGTTCTGGGACTTTGCCTTCTGGGGAGGGTCTGGAGCTCAGAGCCACTGTCAAGGCAAGCTAAGGTTGGTGAGAGAGACCCAGCATGGGGACCCTGCACTAGATGGCTTGTCACCAAATAGCAAATAAGATGGATGTGAACGCTCAGATGCCTGTATGTCCAGCAGGTGTAGAATCTACAAAGACAAAGGAGACGCAGGGGTGGTTTCATAACAGAAACCAGGGCAGTGGAGTGGTTCGAAGGTCACTGTCTCAGTTTACACGTCACTCAACAAGCCTGTGTAAACAGTTTTTCTTATGCGTCTAGGGCTGTCCCCTCTGGGTTTTTACAGCCAGGTGTGGATTGTGTCACCAGGCCAAAAACTCTGGGGTAGTCATTCTGAAAGAATTTGCGTTCATAACGAAAATGCCACCACCAGCAATAGAGTTAACATTCTGCGCATCTATAGAGTGCCATATGCCTGAGTAGGTGTTGAATGCCTTGTGTAATCCTCCCGACAATTTTTATGAGACAAGCGCCATTGCTTTCTGTATTGTCCAATGGATTAACCTTGACGGTCACTGCAGTGGAAGGGGGCCCTCCCGTACATTAAAGAGCTCGCAACTTTTTCAGAGTTCGAACAGAAATCTGTCCCAGACGTGGGGAAGGTTTAAAGCGTGGGAACATTTCTAGACTCCATCTGCTAACTTCAAGCTTGGCGTGGCAGCTCCATGACTGGCCCAGAAGGGACCTGCGCTCATCTGAGCAGATGACACCAGCGTCCTGGTGGTGCCCACAGTTGTGTGTGAGCCAGCCGCTGAGAGGGCAGTGCCCCAGTGAGGACTCACTTCCTGTGCACTTGACGTCATCCAGGAGGATGCTGCCTGACCCGGGGCTGAAACTGGCCCCAGAGAGGGCGGACACAGCCGGGCCACAGCCAAGCTGTCTGCAGACCACATGGGCATCCTCTATGGACCAGCTGTCAACACACACCGTGCCCCAGGTGTCCGCGTGGTGGACTTCCACTCGGCCTTCGCACCTGCTTGACCCATTCACCAGCCGCAGACCCAGACCCTGGGGGACAATTTCAAGCAATGACTTCCATCAAGGCTCATCCGAAAGGCCACAGAAGAGCCAGCAGCTCTTGGAAATTGTGCACGGGTGATGGATGGCGATAGATTTACTCCCCCTTTCACTCTGCTTCACTCATTTAATTTTTGCCTTGAGTATTACCTCCTGTGTTTCCTGAGGTGACAGTTGGTTGGGAAATGGTTTTGCTCCTTAGCCCGCTGGCCCAGAGACCCGCCTCATCATGGAGCCATTTCTTCTCTTCACTGTGTGTCCTGAAGTCTTGGCTTCTGGCACTCACAGGGTTTGCTGGGTTTTTTCATGAGATGCTAACATGCACACACCAATTGGTGTGTGTGCATGCGCGCGTGTGTGTGCATGCACACGCACAATGTTCTCTGCCTGCCCTTGCACACACACCGATCAAGTGATGATCACAAGGCTCCATCTATGTTGGTTCGGGATCAGGTGCTGTCACATGTGCATAGATGCTCCTGGGAGCTCATAGGGCAGTTATTCCAGACCGCCCTTCGTGTTCAGAGGACAGCGTCGCAGAAGGGAGCAGAGATGGGATGTGCTCAGGACACAGCCAA